AGCATAAATCAGTTAAATGACGAAAAATTAGGTGTCTATTTACTTGTGACCACCCACTGTATATATATATCAAAACGAATTTGTGTGAAAACGAAGACGGTGTGTGTCAATCTTGTTGGTAGATAGCGTAAATTAAATTAAATATCGGCTTCGGACTATTGTAAATTCTCAACATGTAACAAACGGAACAGTTACAGTTTTGGAAAATTTAAAATTCAATATTGGTGGCATCTTTACTGTTTCTTCATATCATCACTGTATTAACGTGTTTAAACATAATAGTAACAGAATTTGTGGTTCCATCCTATACAGGGGTTACAATTGTTAATATTGTCTCAGAGTCAACCACAGGTGACCAATGGCATATCAAATATTCTTTGGAAGCCAGGTTTAACATTTCAATTAAATTATAGCTTTTATAATGAAACGATTTAAGTATGACCATATAACTTTTGGTGTTTAGTATTTTCAAACTAGTACCATATACCATTGGTTCCTAGAGTGGGGCCACGGACCCCCAAGGTGCTGTAACAAATACACAATACTGTTAAAGTACTCAGTATCTATAAATTCATTGGGTGAGGGTGGCTCAGTCAGGATGTGGAATGTTCTGGAAGGCCTTGTAGTGAGAAAGTGTGAGCATGCCTAATACGATACACAAGCTAAACAGCTAGAATAGAGACTTCAAAGATTCAGATCCAGTCATCCCTATTTGTCATGAAATGATGAAATTTTGTCAATAAAGTTTTGTTTCTTTTTTGAAAAAGTAGTTTTGATAATCAATGGAATTTTTAAACAAGTCAACATTATTTTCCAACTTAAGAAAATAACTAGCACAAAATTATATGACCACTAAGACATATATATAAACTAAAATTGTAAATATTGATTTAATGTAGTACAAATTATTTTTTATTTTGATATTTATAATTTAACAGCCAAAAAATAAAAACAAATCCAGTCAGATAACAATTAGACTGAAAATTAGAAACAGAAAATTTGTTTTATTGTAAGCAATGTGCGAAAAAAAATTATTTTAATACTACATGCGAAGATTTGTTTCTTTTAGAGCAAAGCCACACTGGACCATCGGCTGTGTCCACCACGGGAAATCGAACCCCGTATTGTAGCGTTGTTAGTGTAAACCTGCCGCTGTCTCTCTAGGGGACTTATGCAAAGAAGAAGTGTTAATGATTTAGTATTACAGTGCAAAAACCTTACAACCTTTTTCCACTACTTATGTGATGGTCATGGTACCTTACAACCTCTTTCCACTACTTATGTGATGGTCATGGTTACAGATAGGTGAGGAACATATTTTCTACCACAGTGGCTTTTTTTCCTCTTCCTCCTTTAGATTTATGACGTTAAAAATCGGGTTTCGATACCCATGTGGCCACAGCACAAATGGTGTAGCTTTGTGTTTAATGACAAACTTACATGCTGAAAGCCCATCAAAATGTCTGTGTATGGCCTAGCATGAATTCATCTTTATGCTCGCATCTTGAGAAGGAACTATCATTGTGACTTAGACATGTTGCTGGATACTTAATAGATTCATACATTACTGGTATCCATTCGGTACAAGGTACAGTTGTGTCAGCATAGTCGATACAGTAAGTTAGCTTAATAGCACCTTGAGTTCACTTTGGTATCTTTCTCGACTCTCCGGGTGCTTAACTTTACGATTAGAGTTGTAACCTGCAATGATTGCCATAAATCTCTTGGTAAAACTTTTGTGAATTGTCTTTACCATTTCTGAAATGTTGTGTCACAAGCAGAATACTTAAGTAGACATGTGGTTCCCCCAGTGTGACGACATACTTTAATTTTTGACGTTCTAGATACCACTGTTGCACCAGCTGGTCTTCCAGTTTATGTGCTTTGAGGGAAGCTGTAAAAGCGTCTCCTTTATTACTTTTATATACTTAAATCCATTGCATTCTCTTGTTTGCAGTTAGGCAAAGTTGCAATTTTAGCTTTAATGGTCTATTGTGTTCTTAAGCTACTTCCAGCGACAAAGAGTTTAACTTTATTCATTATTTCCAGTGCACTATTGGGAGTTAACCCTAAAGTAGCCTGTTTGTTCCTGCTGGAACCTGTATATCGTTGCTTCACAGATACGATAAAACATTCAAAAATGCCTATTTCTTCGAAACATTGAAATTTTGTGCCTTGAATTTTTCTTATAATTGTTCAATAAGAGAACATCATGTTTAAAGTCTTGTAAAATAAATCTTCCAGAAGGAGTGAATTTTAGTTATAATCTGCATGTGCAAATACCACACTTTATTTGCATTGCAACTAGAAAGTCAAATATCTTAACCTGTGAAATCACAGGCCATAAAGTAGTTGTATAATTACATTGTTACGGTAGATTATGGACAACTCTTTGAAATTTTACGTGAAATAATAAGTAAACAATATCATTATTGTGTGTCTAGAAAAAAAAATCGTAATTTTATTTTAAATAGGTATTTATGCAAATTTCATAAAAGTCTGTTAAAATAGAAAAATTGATTAATAGAACGAAAACGTGCTCTGGCACACAAATTTTCTTTGAAAAGCATTAAAAACACACAAAATTAAGGTGCGTTGATTATTGTTTTTAGGAACAGTATTTCAATGCCCGTGCTACTATAAGAACTATTTTCTCTGTTATTAACCATGGTCAGTGTGATGCCATGATTATGAACTAGTGCCTGATACTGCAATTTTTACAAACTTCTGTAAAAGACAAAGATCAGTCTTAGACTACTCATTTTCAGTAACTTCCAGAATGACATAGACAGCGACTTCAAAGACCGTTTAAGCAAGTTAAGTGCACATTTAGCTATACCTTGCAACCTTAAATGTAGTAAAATATATTGCCAACTAAACAATTGGGATATTATGTGCTCAAAACTGTTGTTTTGGTAATTTGACACTGAAGCGTTTAAAATTATCTATAAAATGTCCCAAGTTTGCCAGATATATATAGTATTGGAAATAATTACAGAAACTGAATAAAATGAGTATAACATACAAACAATATGAAATTACTCTCCCTCTATTCTAGGAAAATGAACTGTACCAAAGTAGAATATTGGTAACTTACACTGTGATTGCTGTAAGCCGTTTCACCATGACATTAACTATGCCATTAAACCATGATATCAGTAAAGCCATTTTAACATGGTATTAACAAAGTCATTTCAACATGGTATTAGCTACGTCATTTGAAAATGGTATTAGCTAGGCCATTTCAACACAATATTATCTAAGCCATTTCACCAAGGTATTAGCTAAGCCATTTCAACATGGTATTAGCTAAGCCATTTCACTAAACCATAAATAATATAGGCACAAAATATCAATTGATATTAATTTCTTGTGCCATTTATTTTTACAAAGTGGGAACCTAGAGTCTGAAATGATCTTTATTTATATTTTTAAAACCCATTTCTCAGCTCTCAGGCCAACTTATCAGTATCATGAATAGCTTATATCCATAGGTTACTCACCTCGAACAATTTGCCAGACTAACAGAAATCCAATGAGATCCATTATTTCCATCGCCTAGAAAACTTCCATTAACTACTCCAGTAAATGAATTTCCACTTAGCACAAGATGTTCTCCTTCAGTACAAATGTTGTCCATTCTCTCCATGGTTAATTTATTGCCACTATATACAGTATAATGTAGATTTTTCTCTGTGATCTTCGTAAGATCGATAACACCTGAAAATAGAAATAAAAAATGTTATACGAATTTTATAGGAACGTTGGAGTAGATTTCAAAGGGGAATGCTTGGATAGTTTGTTTTCTGTGTTTGTTTGTTTTTTAGAGCAAATCCACATTGGGCTATTGGATTTTAGCGTTGTAAATCTGTAGACTTCACTATCCCACTGGAAGAAAGTTTGGTTTGAAGTTCGTAAGGCCATCTTACGTTATAGACTAGAGGGAAGACATCTAATTAACACCACCCACCGCCAACTCTTGGGTTACGAATAGAGGGATTGATTGTCACATTATAACGCTCTCAAGGCTGAAAGAGCGAAAACGTTCGGAGAAATACTTGAGAAAATTATTCATAGCCGTGGATGTTAACAAGATTTGATGCAACTTATTAAAACTGAAACTATAGCATATTTTTTGAATTAATCTGACTAGTTTTAAAAATTCGTTCTTTGTTTATATAAATCTGTTTAGTCAGCTTCATTATGGATTCCAGGACCCCAAGTTCGTGTCCTATCCATTTACTGCAAAAACTAATAAATAAATAAATCATATTCCGGTCTTTGAGGTCATGGGGGCGTTATTACTTTTTTTTTTTTTTGCTGACTTGTCGTAGAATAACAGTCAGACTAATTATCCATGCTCTGAACAGCAATTAATTCCATTCAGCTTTTATTTTTGTGCTAAACTTTCTAGTTTATATTTGTATATAATCACCATACATGGTGAAATGGTCAGCATGTACTTGAATAACAAGTTCGTCGGTGCTGATGATCTACCTGCTCCAACATTAATGGCGGTTGGCCACCTCTTACCTGTTCCTGTCTTCCTAATCATCACTTGTTCAACAACAATGCGGTGGAAGAGGAGATGTAGAAGAAACTAAGCAGCATTTTGGCTTCCAAACCTCTTCCTGGTTCTCCAGGTAGTGAGAACATCAGTGCATCGTTCTCTGGTAGGTGTATTACAAGAGTAACAGTCAAGTCCCACTATTCAATTACAGTAGATCAACAGTTGGCGGTGGGTGCTGCAGACTAAATGACTTCCTTTTAGTCTCCCATTTCAAATTTATGGACGTCTATTGTTGTTAGCCAGTGTACAACCATGCGCGAATATTCGAACCATACCAAACACAAATGTTAACGAAACAAGTTTAAGTGCTCTGCTAACTGGTTGAGTTATTTCATTTCACATTGGTGATTATATCAAATTAAACTGAGGGTTGGATACATTTCATAATTATTTATTACGATCAGTTATCTTATTAAATACTTTTATCATTATCTTGTATATTTTTGCATTTTATTTTAAAAATTTTATTTCATAGCAATTTTTTAGATACGCCACTGAAGTCGAAATTATTAACTGAATATTTGAAAATTTTGTAAAGTTTTAATAACTTAAAAAAGCGTATATAAATAAGTCAGTTGAAATATTTTAAGCATCTGGTGTTAAAAATGTTTGACTATATTATTTACATATAAGTATTTGTGAAGTTTGGAGTTGTGCTAGTTCGTCATGTGACTAGACATAACGACAACACCAATGAAACAAGTGGAAAAATATTTTTCAAAATGTGTATGATAATACTTTTGAAGTTTTAATCCACCGATAGGTGTCGACATAAATCTCACAGTATGAGCTTTACTAAGTATAACACGATCACATCTGTGAAGTTGAAGGTACGTCTAAACGTGTTAAAAGTAAACCACCGTAAGAATAAGGATAACAGTAGAAAGCTTATCTGAAGAAAAAAAAAAGAAAAAATCTATTAACGTGAAGAAGCTATATATTTTATTTTAGTTTGAAAAAGTTTTTGAACTCCTTTATTAGGATGTTAAATTAATGTAGAATTCTATACTAATCTTTTTAGTTTAGCTTTAAACTAATATACAATATCACTTAAAGATGCTTTCAGTATTTATTAATGTATCCACTCCTAATCAAATGTTTAACACAAATATTATAGTATAATGAAGTACTGGTGACAGTTAGAAACTATAAAAGTGTTTGTAAAACACATAAAGGGACAATGTAATAATTCTATCTATTTCAGTAACGGTGGATAGCTACAGCATACACTTTGGTGTTGACGATAACCATACATTTACTACTGTAGTTCTTAAAAAGTAAAATCTTATACAGTGAAGTAGTAAATTCACTTTTAATCCTTTTCATTGCACTCAAACCTCACAACAACACATATCCCAATATCTCAGTCATAAAAAAAAAAATCTTTATAATTACAGAAACTTTTACTAGGCGCCCTAACCTACTAAACAAGAAACAATATCTGGATATTAAGGAAAGGCCCACCTTTGTCTTGTCTACAAATAAAACAGTAAGGTGAACATAGAAAGGTTTCGTTACCCAGCGTAACCTCGTGGTTGTTCGACTCTCTGAAAAAAGTAGTAGACGATAGTTAATCATACTGATGGTAAAAAGGTAACATTTCAGTTATTTGTACCAACATGTATAGTACCAAAGTACCAACATTTAAAGTGGCAAAAAAAGCTTAATGATAAAATTACTCAGTTATATGTTTATTATTTGAGGAATACTACAAGTTATCATTAACTTTTACAAAATAAACATACAACGATTTCACCCACATTTTGAAAGAATTTAGTACGATATATTAAAAAAGATTTTCAATGTGCAAATCAGTAATGCACATGAAGAACACAGCCGATATAAAGTTAGGATGGAATGATATATCAGAATTACAATTTGACATTATTTGGCAATTCGTAGGTAGGGTGATGCCAACGAAACTTAATCGTTTTTTTCGACGTAAAATTTTCATACTCTCAGACTATAAAAATGTGTTCAGATCAGGAATTTAGAATTTCCGTGGTAACCAAAGTGTGCCGTCTTATAACAGGGGAGAAACCACGAAACAAAGGTTAGTGACAACAGCCGTCTACGTGTCCCAGGAAAAATAATCAAGAAGGATATCCATCTGGAAAATCGACAAATCTCAAGTGTACACAAGTTACTACTATTATGTAACAGTTCAAACCTCAAGCACCTGTAGAATGAAATGGAATTCATGCTACTCCATATGAAGACATACCAGTCAGGTCGCCAGATGCAGCGCCTATGAAGTTCTATGTGATCAGATTGTTGAAACTGACATTGCGAAACCGTTGTCCTCATTCTCTAGATGTATTATGGAAAGCAAGCAGTGACGAGTAGTTTGATTTGAACGTGATAGCCTTATGACTGAGCCTCTTACAATAGAAACTACATTGCAACTTTGTTTGTTTGAAGTTAAGCACAAAGTTACACAATGGGCTATCTGAGCTCTAACCACCATGGGTATCAAAACCCGGTTTCTAGCGTTGTAAGTCCGCAGACATACCGGTGCTACACTGTAGGATCATTTTCAAGATGTACGATCATCAGCTAGAAGATAATCTGATTTGGTGACATGGACTGTAACTGCATCGTGTCGTTCAAAAATCGTTTCGATATAAAGTATTCAGTTTCTACATAGACATCTTATACGGAAAGTAAAGACAACGATTGACTTAACTAATAAGAAAAAGTATAACTAAAAATAAAAAAAAGATTTGTTATTGTAAATGCAACAACATTCTATCTTTAGTACAAGACTAAAACCGAATTTTTTAAAAAAGAAAACTGGCCTCAGCCTAGGATACATAAAACTCATGAGTATTTAGTTTCTACTTTAGATCCAATAATATAGGAGAAACCAAGTCAAATTAAGCGTAATGCATAAAGTAAAATAATTCTGAAACCTGAGAATGATTCTAAGTATTTTCCTGTGATTGTAGGTTGAACGTCCAATGTTAGCAAACAGACAAGCATCTATCATAATATGACACTGACCACGTGGATCCAATATCGAGGTTGTAGGGCGGTTTCTTCAGTTCTGTTGGTCCCCCAGTGGCACAGCGGCATGTCTGTGGACTTACAACGCTAGAAAAAAACCGTTTCGATACCCGTGGTGGGCAGAGCACAGATAGCTCATTGTGTAGTTTTGTGCTTAACTTCAAACAAACAAACAGCTCTATGGAAGATGAAAACGATATATGTAGATTTGAACAATATAAAAAATTAGAATCTCATGATTTGTCAAAAAATTGCAGAAGCCTTGGCAGTGAAAATGAGGCAAACAAGCTAACGACATGGACTTGAGACATTGTTGTACCTTGTGGGTCCCGTTGTGTACAGTTCATCTATATTCTATTTGCTGCGTTGATGAATATATATGGTGAATATTTAAAGATGGTATGTTAGAATGTCCTCTTTCTAGATTCTGAAACACGCATTTATAAATGTTTATGATGCCTTGAAAACAAAGAAAAACAATAACCAATAGAAGATAATATATACAGTGAAGCACGGTGTTTAATCACTCATATCAAGTCTTGAAAGACTGATTGTTTGGTTTGTAATTGTATTTTATATCGATAAAGTGGGTAAAATAAAACAATATAAAATATCAAAGTTTAAAACTTCATTATCCTCAAATATTGCAAAGAGTTTCGTAAAAAAAACAAAAACAACACAAATACGAAACCAAAGCCAATTGGCAGACGAATAAGGAAAAATTCAAAAGAAAGTTAGAGTCTGTATAAAAAGGGACTTGTACTATAAACACTTAAATTAAACCCCGCAATATCTTCAGAAGCGTTTCTACATGGAAGTTTGTTTTCTTTAGTAGAAACCACACTAGCTAATGTTTCTAAAAGTTCTGAGAAGCTACCGAAACAAAGTAAAAACTAAGAGTTCCTTTAGAATGTCAAATAATTTCTCTGACCAAACATCCCATTGATTTATAGTTGCTACTGAGAAACGGTAAAATATAAAATATTATCATTTTCTGAGCCAATTTCAGAAAATTTAAGTGTAGTGGGATCTTGCTTTATCGTCATGAAAAAGCTTTTGTCTATCAAGTTTGGAATTCGTTGTTATTAGTTAAACATGAATTGCCACAGTATTCAGATTCATTCTGAGTGTTATTTGCTCTTCGAAAGAAGTCCAATGACCATATTCCTTCCAAAAGGATGTTACCCGTGCTATTTTACCATCTTCAAAACTTGCACTGTCAAAACCATACACGCAGAGTGAAATCCTTTGTATTTGAACTCTTCGAACTCCACATATAAAAATAAATAAAAAAGCACAACTTATCAGGCCTCATTGCCCACAGCCAATACTCTAGGTACCACTAAAGCAGTGTTTTCATACACATTCGAAATGATGGTTCTTGGCTGTCACACAGTAGATTTTGCAACGTCCTTGACATGATATATTTGAACTGGTCGAATCTTGACCACTTTTGATGGAATCGATATATTTAGGACATCAGTTGTTTTTTTTCTCTTAGTTGGTCATCAGCTAGTAGCTGATGACCAAGCTCTTAGTTGGTCATCAAAGATTTTTCTACTGATAATCGTATTTCCTTTCGACTGACATCACTAACAGTTTCTACTATCACATAACTATGAATAGCCTATTATAGAAACGACATTTGTAAACGATATTCTTGCTATACAAACACCTATCATTATACCGTTTTGATAGTCAAAGATGTCTTTGCTCTTTTATATATTGTCTTGCAAATGAACTATGAAATGTCTAAATCTCTGCATTTATAGGACTTAAGGTTATACAAAACATCACTTGGTTATACTAATTCTCATAGGTTTTATAAACGTATGGAGGTTCCTAATAAAGTCGATTGCCGGCATATATTTATATCTAATAAAGCATATTAAGACAAATATGGTACAAAATATAAATCTAATCATAGTGTTAATTAATTACAATTAACAATGTTATAAAAAAACTATCATAGACACTTTATATTTTCATAGTAAAGGTAATATGTATTCATTAGAAAAAAACAAAACAAAAATACCATGAAACTTTAGATTAATATATCTTAAGATTGGAGTTCGAATGTCGAACGGTAAAATGACTTAGTGATTATAGAACTCGACTATCGGATAGAGATAATAAGTTCAAATTCCACTCGAGGCGAGATGTTATGTTTACTTTATTTGTTTATTTTTTCTAAATGATCATAATAAGAGCAAGCTCTTTCAATACCATTATAAATAAAATCAGGGATATGAGATATTGGCTAACATTCCAATTAAAAGAAGGTGTGTTTACAGCAACAAGCCACCTCAGCTTTTCAATTGAATTGAACATTTCTATTACCATCTATGAAATAACCTTTAAACTAAAATTCTGAATAAAACTAAAAATAGTTCAGAAACGTACAAGAAAGAAAATATTGCTTAACAGGAAATAGAAAAAGTAGATGTGTGTCACGACAAAGTCAAGAATAACTAAAGTAGAGGAAAAACAACTGACACGCGCAAATGAAGCTCCTGAAGAAACAAAGTGAAGGAAACAAATTGATGCTGAAAGACATGTAACCATTGTCAAATGGTTGTTCTCCAAATCTCATGATGGTTAGACAAGAAATTCAGCATTCACTGGATATGATGTATAACTTTCTGGTTAGTGCGGATGTACTGTAGTGTCCAGAAGAATAAGTGGAATGGCTGCATTGTGCACAATTACTGCAAACAATTTTGTACGTCAGGTAATAAAAAAGTCATTATGCATCATAAAAGATGCTATGATGCTAAGGAAACCAAAGTTCAAGCCTAGTGGCTGAGTTCGATTTTCTATGCACATACAGAATGTCCTTAAATTCTGTAAGCTAATCTTTATGAAGTGAACTCATGATTACTTGAGCATACAGATTGAAAGAAGTCACGTAGTGGTAACAAGTAGTTTTGACTTATAAATATGTTTGATTTGTACAACTGAACGCCTTCTTGACTTGTGGATATTCTGAATATTTTATGTTGATTTATATTTGATCAAAGTTGTCAATATACACGATTTTTATGCTAACTACATTTATTTGTATGATTTTAATGTTGTCTGTAATGATATAACTCTGGAGTTATTAGCAAACTCAGCATGATTATATTTATGTGGATTACAATTAACATATTTTGAGATGGCGAGTTGTTGTTGTGAACAGACAGGTCACAAAACCTTCTGGATTAGAAACTTTAGCCACTGCTTGCAAAGTAATGGGCTTAATTTCAGTTACTGAGGTAAGATTTTGGCATGTAGTTTAAACGCAGTAGAATTGAAAGTCCATTAATATATACTACATTCTGTATGGAATAATATTTTCTATTAAAACCTGGATCATGGCTCTTACTAGTTGTCACATTTAACCTCACATTTCTTTCTGAACTTCTTAACAATCTCAGGTTGGATTGACTTGGATTTTTGTTATGTGAAACCTTTATTGTTGGACTTTGCTGTACTGTCTTTTAACCTTTAAAAAAGCTTTATAAGTCTAATTTTATAGCACTTGAAGGAAGATTAAAAA